AAAAAAAAAAAAAAAAGAAAAAGAAAAAAAGAAAAAGGAACTTTGGAGCACTGTACAGAATGAATGGAAGATCCACGAGAAGCAGACCAATCAGTTGCAGCTTCCTGCGGCCTTCTCACCCAGGTAATTTTCAATCTGGGTGGGCTGCTTTGGCACAATTATTGGTGGATGGCAGAGGTCAAGGGGAGGTCCTAACTGCACATCCCCGGGCGGACTGCTGGAATGTAACTAGATTATTTGCTAAGGTGGGATTTGACTACTATTCCACTGTCTTTCCCTGTATTTCAAACAAACCCATCGAGATGAACACAGCGCTCCTCCTCCCCATCAGTCCACACTGGCGGAAGTTGTGTAAAACTAGCAGAAGTCAGGAAAACGGCAACCCTTTGAGGGTTTTTCTCTCCTCTCCCTGCCCAGGGTGCACTGCCTTCTTCGCTCTTCATAACCTGAACAAGGGAACTATTCAGCCCGACCAAAGGGGAGAGGGAGGAAGACACTTCCTGCTCTCCCTTCTCTGGCCAGGACAGGACATGGTTTTTGATCTAAGGCCCAGAGAATCCCGAGCTGATAAAGGCCCATTGTGGCAGCTTCTAGAGAAACCCAGAGGCCATCAGGGGCTAAGAAGCTGGTTAACAGCCCTTGAACATTTGTGAAAAGAATTACTTGGCGGAAGTCAAGGCAAAATGAGGCCCCTGGGCTGCCACTGGGATGTGCCTTTGCCATCCCTGGCAGGGAGGCTAATGGCAAAGCCAGCAGGAAACCTGGCCCGCCTGCCACTGAAAGGGCTGACCTGAAGGCACCAGCAACCTCAAAGCAGTGCAGGGCAGCTTTGCAGCTCAGGGCTCCCCTACAGACACCTGGAGGTTGAAACCCAATCTCCCGCCAAATGCAGGAAACACAACCGCTCTTTTAAAAAGAGCCTGGGAAAGACAGAGGAGCCTCCCGCCCTCCCACCCCCAAAAGGGTGTCCAAAGCAATAAACAGCAGGAAAAGGAGGAAGGGCGCAGAGTGGAAGCCGGTCTGGAACTTATTTAGGAATTAGGCTCTTTCTGCTCCAATCTTTAACGCGCTTTGAGTTCAGGCACCTCATCATTTGAAAGCCTCACTATTCTTATAGCAAAAGCCAAAGTGGGAAGAGATATCCTGAGGCCTGAGATAAATGATGCTGGGGAGGTGGCAGGGAGATGGGCTGGATCGGGGGGAAGCTCACGGGAGGAAGGTTTGAGGTTCAGCGGAGGGTCAGGAGCCCATCACACACTATTGTCTGCTCCCGGGATGGCTGCTGGGAGGCCCTGGGAGGGGTGCAGGATGCAGGGATTGGGAGAACTCAATCCCTGGCTCCACCCCAGATCTGTGCATCGGGTCTCCCTCTTCCCCAGCTGACAGGTGGTGGACTGATCACTCTGGGGGAGGAAACACGGACGCCAGGTCAGAGAGCAGCCTGTGGAGTCTTCTTAAAGACCCCTCTCTGTGGCCAGGTGGTGAGCCCGGGGATTAAATGAAGAGCAGATTTAAAGCACAGTCAGTCCACTCACTGCATGCTGTTTCCACTCTGTTCCTAGAAGGATCTGGGGTGGGTGATTGACACAGTTCATTTCTCAACCTGAGGCCAGCTTTCCCTCCCCACCATCCAAAATGCACAAACTCAGCTCCCCTCAAATGCCAAGGCATTTCCAATTTCCCTATCATCAAAGCAAAGCACAATAAGCAGTACAAACCCACTGGCTGGGCACGGTGGCTCACGCCTGTAATCCTAGCACTTTGGGAGGCCAAGACAGGATCACTTGAGCCCAGGAGTTCAAAACCAGCCTGGGTAACATGGTGAGACCTGGTCTCTGTAAAAAATACAAAATTAACTGGGCATGGTGGCACACACATGTAGTCCCAGATACTCAGGGAGCTAGGGCAGGAGGATCGCTTGAGCCCAGGAGGTCAAGGCTGCAGTGAGAATGTTCATGCCACTGCACTCTAGCCTGGGCAACAAAGTGGGACCCTGCCTCAAAAAAAAGAAAGAAAAAAAGAAAACAAGAAAAAAAAAAAAACCTACCGCAGAGCACCCCAAGCCATCTAACTGAGGACTACTGGACACATTATTTTACGTCAACCACTTCCCTAGCATTGGCGGAAGGTGTTGCTGGCAGTTGGTGGGCAGGCCTGTAACTCCCAGTGAGTAGCGGCACCAAAACACACAGAACAAGTTAACTGCCCTCCACCCACCTTCACCACCTACTAGCCCATCCCATGACAAACCTCACCTGCTACCACAGAGATTCCCTTCGGGTTGGGGATGGATCTGGAACACAGCACAAAGTGTTTTCTGAAAACAAAGCATTTTCTGCCTTACTGGAGATGCTGTCCCAGCTGGCAATGCAAACATGTGCACACAAAAACTGCTAGAACACTCTGTTCTGATCCCACAGCTCCCACAAACAAAAAAACCAACTCATGGCTGAGCCGGAAGGTCTGGGTGTCATTTATTGACAACAGTTTATACACATTTGTTTCCTTCCCATGGTTGCTTCCTTCCCAGCACAGGCATAGAACCCCTGAGAAGGGCAGTCTCTGAACGAGGGAGCCAGGAACGTAGGTCGGACACATCTTTGGCAGGCATGTTCAGCCCCAGCAGGATGCAATCCTTCAAGCTGGAATTCCACTGGGCATTTGAGAGGGACCAAGGTGGGGGGTAGAGAGGAAGTCTTCGACAGGACTCACATCTCGGTCCAGGCCTCCTCTCTCACTATCCAAGTCCATCCAAGTTTTAGGACCCTGGGGGGTAACAATCAGGCCCACCCACCTCAACAGGGGCAGATTCTTCAATCTGTGCCCAGTTCACACACACCTGTTTCCGCTGGTCGCACAGTTAAAGAGAATCAGCCTTATGGTAACAGACAGACCACTTCCTCTCTGCCCCTCCCCGGCACCTCTCTTCAGCGGCATCTGCGCAGGAACTGCTGGGAAGACGGAGGCCTGCCGCCTTCTCAGTTCAGCCACATGTGCCCTCATCCGCAAATCTTCCATCAGCAACAGGACAGAGGCCACACGTGGACTCAGGCAGACACCTGTGCTCCCCAGTCCATCACACACTGCCCCGCCTGTGTGCTGCCAAATGCTGGTGCCCAGGCCGGAGCTCCAGCAGGCCCCGAATTGGGACCTAAAGCTGGTTTGCATAGGCACTTGGCAATTTTTGGTAGGGAGGTGGATAAAAAAGTAGATGGATGTGAGAAGAATGAAAGTTTCATTTGATAGACTAATTAGAGATCTGAAGTGATTTTACCTTTATTTCCTTCACTTTAAGCCAATCATGAAATTTCACAGTGATTTCTGGGGTGGGGGCAGAAGGAAGGCGGTGTTAATCATCATCGGGGCTGTGGCCCAGTCAGCCCGCGGAGGTGCAGGCAGGGTGGGCCCTCACTGGGGCAGCTGGAGGAGCACGGACTGCCCCGCTGGCAGGTAGGTGATGTTCC